TTGCCCCTGTTGAACCTCATGAGGTTTCTCACCACCCAGTCCTCCAGTCTGTCCAGGTCCCTCTGGACGGCAGCACAGCCCTCAGGGCTATCAGCTACTCCWCCCAGYTTGRYATCRTCWGCAAACTTGCTGAGGGAGCACTCCAGCCCTTCATCCAGGTCGTTAATGAATAAGTTGAACAGGACCGGACCGAGAACTGATCCCTGGGGGACACCACTAAGTACAGGTCTCCAGCTGGACTCCGCACCACTGACAACCACTCTCTGCACCCTGCCATCGAGCCAATTCCTAATCCACCTCCCCATCCACACATCTATCCCACACCTTTGGAGCTTGCCCAGGAGGATGCTGTGAGGGACAGTGTCAAAAGCCTTGCTCAAATCCAGATAGATGACATCCACCGCTCTGCCCTCATCTATCCAGCTGGATATTCCTTCGTAGAAGGTGATCAGGTCAGTCAAGCAGGATTTCCCCTTGGTGAATCCATGCTGGCTACTCCTGAGCACCTTCATTCAAGTGGAGCCTGGACTGCTACTTGTAAAAGAAATGCTTTGAAGATTTCTAAATAGAAACAGCCAAGGAAACCCACTGAGCTGGCAAGGTATCACATGTACTTGCTCTGTGCTTGCTGTCTGTTGGGTACTGAATGTTTCACGTCCTTTGGACAAATAATAAGGGTGCTGTCCCATGTTGATTGTGTTTGTTCTTATGAAAAGGCCTGTTTCCAAAGATGCCAAGACCTTACTTCAGTGTGTCTTTAAGTCACTCAGATGTTACTTTTTTTTAGCATTTCTTCAGATGCCATGAGTACAAAGCAGTTACAATACATATTACCCAATTAGTTTTATTAGCAGGATGAAGAATTCATCTGTGAAAGTTCTGCAAAGGACGAATGTTTTTTTTTTTTTTTCTGATAAAAATGGGATGCGTACAATGGTACCTCTGGGAAGTGATATATCTTTTCCTTCAGACAGAAAAGGAGGAAAAAATAAGTAATATATGAGGTAGTCAATTCAGGAATGTATTAGCTGCCTCGACCCAGTTACATGCCAATGTCTCATTTGCTCATATAAGAATATAAATCAAGAAAGATTTTACATTTGCAGCCTTTTGATACAACTGAGAATACAACATGACCCATAGAAGTAGAAAACTGTTTATTCAGTTTTGGACTAATAAATTATCTCTGCAATTTTTGTTGCTTAAAATAATGTCTAGATTGTTGGAAGAAAAATCCACAAATATATTTATTTCTTTATGGATGTCTACCAACTTATGTGTAAAAAAGTTGTAAAAAAGCTCACATTATCCATGTGAACTCTCTCTCCCTTTTCCCACACAATCTAATTTATTATGTAGCTACTGCCAGAATTTATGGATGACAAACTCAAGGTTTTTCACAGAAAGGCAATTCATAAAAATGTCCTTTGTCTTGTCAGAGTAACTGCCATTTTTTGTGCTTATGATTATACTAGGTATAATATGGATGAAGAAGTTTTGTGAAAATAGCCATGTTTTCAGCACACCATTATGGAGTTTGATGTATTTATGTAATAGCAGTAATGCAGAGAACATAGTGAGCCGTCACAAGCAGCCTTTTCTTGAATTAAATTAAACGACAAGGAGGTTAAGGGAGCAGAGCAATTAATGTCTCTTCCCTTATGCTCTGACAACACAAACAGTTTCTATTTTTGGATGGAGTAGGAAATGTTTTTTCTCCTTCAAATCCATGTGAAGAACTGAAATTTATTACTGTGGTCTCAAAAGAGGCATTGAGTTTCTTTGGAGTTAATGTTCAAATAAAATAATGCTTGAATCTTTCTAATTCCACATGTAGTGGAAGAAACTCTAAGCAAGCAATAGTATAAATACAAACATAGATATTCTCCTTCTGAATGCAGATTATCAGCAAAACTCTTTTTAGGGCCACACTCTGCCCTGATTTACTGTTTGTGAAACATAATCAATGCATCACTGCTCTCAGAGAAATCAAAAAAGCAGTGACCAGTTCAGTCTAGTGCAATATTTATATGTGGAAAACCAAACAAGATCAACCGAAATCTGAATATGAAGTAAAGTGCTGTAAGTCTAGTTGACTTTAACAGGAAAGCAAGGCTTAGGTGGTGATGGATATGTTTTGCTTTTCTTAAATATTCTTGTGACAACTGTATGTTCCATCCATTTTCATACTAGCCAGTACAGAGGGACACCAATCTTCACCTGAGTCTGTCGATTCTCCCATACAAAAAAGATTTGGTCTAGGCTGCAGAGCCGTAATTCAATCATTTAACACTGCATCTGATCATTTCCCCAATTTTTGGAAAAAAATGCTAACTGTTAGTGCACAGAATGCTACTGTTTGGGAGGTCAACTGGAAAGGCAAAAAAGGGAAAAAGGAAAATCTGTTGAATCTTGTTTGCCTGTGTGGCACTGTGACACTCCAGCACCTTGTAATTATCCATTAATCAAAGAAATGTTTGATAGAAAAGGCAAAACATGCATGTTCTCACACTTGATAGAAGTAGGCTGGGAGATGGCTCGCAGAAGGTGAGGCGGGTGCACAAAGGTGCACATAGTGCTGGCATGTGTGAGTAAAAGCTGGATGACAGGCTCTACAGAGGAGGCAGGGAACCCTCGTCAGCTTTGGTAGTCAAAATCGGGGTCTATGCAGGATTAATGGCAAACACAGAGTTCAAACGATTCCTAAGAAAGGTGTCACACAGGAGGCTCCTGTGTTGAAATGGAGGGAGCGTTTCATGTGTGCAGCCCTTGGTTTGGAGGCTACAGAACATGTCATCTCTCAATAAGTTACAGGATATCCTTGAAGATTTTCTAAGATATTAAATGAAAAATAACTGGCTTTGGGAAAGAGTTGATACAATTCTGTCAGCAGTCTAATTAAAGGTTCCCCTCACTTACACACATACAGTTCTCATTTTCCATTTAAATTATCTCCTGTTATATGTGGTGACCTCTGACCACACTAATACAAAATGCGAAGTAACTCAGTGCTGTTATGAGGCACTCTTTTCCATCTCTCAGGCTGAGAAAGTTTCCTGGGAAGCAGACAGAAGGCAGACAGCACTGGGATGTCTTTGGGAAACACCAAAGGCATCATCTGCCATGTGGGAAAGGGTGAGAGCTCCAAGTGAGGATGAAAGTGAGGCAGAAGTCTCTAAAATAAAGTTAAATTAATATATATATATATTTTGCACTTTCCCAGCTGCCTCTAATAGGCCTTTCTCTTCTGCTTTGTTGTTCCTGTAGCCTATTCTGGTGATGATGAGGGGGCAGAGCAGTAAGTCAGTTACTGAGGAACAGCAGTTAGAGCAGTAGTTAGGAAAAAAAAGTACATTTTGGACAGCAGAAGAGTTGCCTCGTTAGTGCCCTGCCTACTGAGAATTAGCACTCTGCGACTAATCGGCTACCAATTTCCTCATGTTGAATTTGAACTGTTCATAAAATTAATAGAGAAATAACAGGATTTGAGGGCAAGCTATTGGAGTGTAAGAATGATAAAAAAAAAGGTTGGGCACTGGACTCACTGTTGCTTAAGGAAAAGTATTAAAGAGAGTACTAAAATTCTGATGGCGGCCAGGTGCCAAGATCTGATGATGCCAAGATCTCCAATCTTTTAGTGTTCGGCTTAAGAAACAAGTACAATTTATAGTGTAGTTTGTGCTGGCCTAGCTAATGCAGCACTAAAAAAAAAAAAAAAAAAAAAAAAANTAACAGTTCTTATGAAAGGAAGTACTGCAGAATAGCTTGAAATGGTTTATTTTTATTCCCAGTCTATTACATTATGAGAAATGCAGAGTGCCTAAAAAATATTGGCTATGTTTATATTATAGAAGATTAAGAAGTATTTCTGCTTCATTTTTACTTCGGGTTGCTACCAGAGTTATGAATACATTTCTAAAGCATAATGTAAAGGGAACCTTCTGAAGCCTTTTGAAGGCTTTAAAATACATTTATTAATGAGAACTCCATTTTTAAAGTCTAGATCAGCTTTAAACTAAATTGATTACACTTGGAATCATAGAATTAGTATCTTAATACTGCTCAACAKTTGGCTGGAAAACAACTTTGAGGGAGATTTTAAGGTGGGAAAATCTTAAAAAATACATTTTTTTGCCAAAAAAAAAAGAAAGTTTTTCTTTTCTGTAGACTTTGAGCCTCAACTGCCAGTGATATGTAAATGAGAAATACCTAACTTCTGATGAGGCAGAGTACAGTCCCCAGGCAGCAAAATAAATGATAGTGTTTCCCACTGACTGAGGTGGGTACATGATTTAATGCTTAAACTAAATCCTCTCCCCAGATGCCGCAGCCTTAGATGAGCGTTCACAGCCCTTCTCCCATTCTTCGGGATGCTAATGTTTCGCTGAAGTGCCATAGTGTTTCTGTACCTCAGCTGGTGATTGTCACAGTGAGTGTCTTTTCAGTCCTTTCACCTCACACTTGCCATTGTTTTTCCATTACACAATTTAATGGCTTTATTCCCCAGCTGTACTGAATGTAGCTTTCAATACAGCTGAGCCATGGCCCCAGTGAAGATTTGCATGTCCCCTTTCTTCTTTTTTAACACGTAGATGTGATTTCCAACAGCTTTTAAAAGCTGGAACATTTTTTTATGGTCTGTTAGTTTGGAAGGCATCAGCTAGAGCACGGCATCTGAGAGCAGCCCCAGTTTGTGGGGAGTTAACTTGGGAAAAAACGAGAATAACCAATTGCCAAGAAGGCAGATGAACCAACACTTCCAGTATTACAGAGAGAAAGAAGGGGGATGTTTGTCCAYGGACCAGATGAAGTAAGCAGCTAAAGACTGTTTTTTCTTTTTCACTTTTTTGCTTTCTCACTTGAGTAATGATGTTGTCAACTGCTTAATGTCCTTTGATACATGATGATGATGATGAGTAACAGGGATTCTCCAACTGGGCATGCTTTTCACCACCCCTGTCAGCAGCGGTGGCACCGTATGTGTGTCCCCTACCGCTAGCATGGRCTGCTGCCCCTTTGCCAGGCCACGTTCGTGCACAGGAGAAGGTAAGTAGTCCCACCTCTCACTTACCCACAAGTTAAGCACCCCCATGCAGTTAACACATATTCCAGGGCTCTTCGTTTTTGGAGATAAAAGGCTCCTTGTGGTCTCCCCAAATACTGGAACCTACCAAAATACTTCAGCCCTACTCTGTAAGACACAGGGCTCAGACCAATCAGGTAAGATGCTGTCCTCCATGCACACCATCTGCTGCCAAACTGCATGGATTGTGGACAAATGAAAAATACCCAGTTTGCTCTTTTCATGTTTGTGGGCAGGCGTTTACAGCAGCCAGGAACAGATCCCTCTTTAGTGCCTCTCCACTCAGGGTTGGTGGCTGGCTCATCACTCTAGTTCACTACATTGCAGTGGTTTGCATCACACAGAACAGGAACACTTACCTAGTCTACAAAAAAAGAAAATGCAAGATAAAACTAAAAAGTCAAATGGAATTTAGAGAACCCATAGGAAGGAATTAACTTGTGGCAGTAACTTTTATTACTTCCCATTCAATTATATTAGGTGTTTAGATGTTCTGACGAACRTGAATTCAGGCAGCACTTGAAAGGACAGTGATAGCTGGCTGTAGTTGGAGCAGTCATTCTAAGTGCTTTAACTGGCGTGAGACTCATGAGTGTAAAAAAAAAAAGGCAATATTTGTAAGTTTAAAATAATGGATGGAAGAAGGGGTGATATGGTTATTTCTTCCATTAATATGTGCAAAGAACAAAGTTTTTAACAACTTGGAAGAACGGAGATTTTCAGAGGGAAATCTCATCTCTAAAAAGCCAGGTCATTAAGTTATTTAGGTACCTTTTTTTTCAGGTTCTTAATTTAAAAGCATCTAATCATTAAATATTTTAACATTGCAAGAAATAATATTTTCCTCATAAGACCCCTCCATAAATGAATTTTTAAAGGTCTTTGGAAAAAGCAGTTGAAATTTCAGTGCAAAAGAATGAATATTAAAATGAAAGTTAAAAAATCACAGAGAATTAAGTATCTTGTTCTTGTAAACTTTGTGATAGGGCACTTTTTTAAAAAAATCAAAAGCTTTGAAAAAATGAGAGTCCTGGTATCTGGGAAGCTCTGTTATTTTACGGAGTGCACAGRAATTTTCCAAAGATTCCATGAAGGCAACAATGCTCTGTTTGGGATTAAACACTACAAGTCCTTTTTGCCTCTCTTGGATGTACATTCATGCATGTACATCAGAGTGTCATTATAAAGCCCAGGGTGCAGCATTCCTTTCTTATTTTCTGTACTTGATGTACCCCATGGTATGTCTGTGCTTTTCKTTATGATTAATAGTACAAACACAGTTTACATGTAGCAATTACATACTTTCTTCACCACTGCAACCTAGAATAATTTTTAACCACCCCCAAACAGATACACTTTTACTTTTAACCTGTGAGATGTGGGAGATGATAGTTTTCCCTGTTGCTTTATGTTCTTCACTTAAATGCTAGAATCAAATTAAGGCTAATTAACTGTACTTTTTAAGTTAGAAATCATAACTGGAAAAAGGCCCTCCAACTCTTTCATACAAAAATAAATATCTACAAGCTGTTAAGTTGCAGCAACCTCTGTAGAAGAACTAGGGGAAGACAGGAACAAGTATTTGTGGAACTTGTCCATTTTGTAATAAAATTGATATAAAATTTGAGAAGCGATTCTGCAAAAGAAATTATAAATCACAATCATGCAAGGCTCCCTTATAGGAGTTCAGTTCTTAAGGAGCCTGGAGTATTAACTGGAACTAAATATATGCCCACTGCTCTTTGATGAAACCATCTCTACAAGGTGGAAAGCTCTTTTCCCGCAAAGGGGCTCTGCGCAGTGTGCTCCTGCAGGATGCCAAGGGAAAGCTGGTGAAGGACCAGCGGCAGCAGCGGGCAGGGGCAGTCCCRGGTGCAGGGATCCTCCGCACACAACAGCCCTGGACGAGAGGGGCGCAGGCGTGAGGGGCAGCGAGCAGCAGCGCCGAGCTGCAGGGTCACACGGGCACCTCGGCCAGACGGGCACCACGGGGACAGCAGCAGCGCACAGCTGCTACGGAGGCTTTCGGGAAGCTGGGTCTTTGGAGACGAGCTGGGTGAAGGTCTTGAGGTCTCCRTCTGCTGTGTTCTTCCCAACGCTCTGTTCTGTGAAGAAGCGCTTCTAGAAACTTCTGGAAAGATGCACTGTGTTCCAGACCTCCCTAGAAATGGTCCAGGGCCTCACTCTCTTGCATAAGATCCAGTGCTTACACCTTCCGTATTTTCTCCTCCACATTTATAATGATGAATCAGGCTTTTAATGAACCCTTTTCAAGTTTGTTGTTGTGGTTTGGTAAAAGTTTCCAAGAACAAAAAGTTGAGTCACAGACCAGCGTTATCCCTGCTCCTGAACGCTGCACTCCCCTGAGCAGGTAGCAGGCAAGCGCCTCACAGCTCCACCTTTGCGCGAGCTCTGTCCTACAGCGTTYACAGGGCAGCGCTCGCAGCCACCGAGCAGGAGCGGCGCTTTGCGGCCCGCCGTTCCTGCGCGCTATGGGTTCAYAGGTGCACGGGAACAGCCCGCGGGCTGAGGCAGGCGCGCACAGCGCGGCCAGGGCTCCCGCTCCCGAGGCGCGGCGGCAGCGCCGCCCGGCCTCAGCCGCCCTCAGGCGGCAGCGGCTCTAACCGCCACCCCGCGACCCTAACCGCCACTCCGCGGCCACGCCCTCCCGTCGGGGCTCCCCACCGGAGAGCGCCGCGCTCATTGGCCACGTCCCCCGCCCACCAGCGGGTCCCACCCCCTCACGCGCCCTGCTGTTCACTTTGCGCCCTCCGACTGGCCGGCGGGCCTGTCAATCCGCCGGGCGAAGGGCTCTCGCCCCGCCCCGCGCGGAGCCCCGCCCCCGCGGCCGGCGGGGGGGGCGGGGAAGGGCGGGCGGTGCGCGCTGCCGCCGCCGGGCGGTTTCCGCCGCCGCTTCCCCTGGCGCGCTCCCCGCCGGCCCTTCTCGGCTCGCAGCGCGGGCGGGGACCGGCGGCGGGAGCGGCGCCCGCAGGTCGGGGGGCCGCCGCCGCAGCCGCCGCTCCTCCTGCCGCCCCTCCTGCCGCCCCTCCTGCCGCCCGGCCGCCTGCGGCGGAGTGCGGCGCACTACGGAGCCGGGAGCCCCCGCAGCGGCAGCGGCCGCTCCTGCTGCGCGCAGCCGGCGCGGAACGGCCCCCCTCGGCCGAGGTCAGCGCTCTTTGCCGTCGCCGCGCAGCCCGCCGCGCGCCCGGAGGGTGACCGTTAGCCGAGCCACGGCCGGGCCGCCCGCCCCTGGGGCCGCCAGGTTCGCCGCCCGCTCCGCGCACGCGGGTTGCTGGGCGCTCCGCGCGGGTTTGGCGGGCGGGCCGGCCCTGCCGCCCGTCCTGGCGGCGCTTGGTGAGTGCGCGCCGCGGAGACGGGAGTTCAGAGTTAGTTTGTATCTTCAGCGTCAATCACCCAAGGGATGGGCGGGTAACAAAGCTTATTTTTAAGGGTTTTCCTGCTGGTTCTGCAGGCAAGACCTTAACTGATATTGAAGTTTGCTGTTATGTTTCTAATGTACTTGGTATTAAAGGTATTTTGGAACGTATGCTTACAAACTACATTCAGAATGGTTAGGATTTAAATGACTTGTTTGTTTTTAAGAACGAATGCGCTGTAAGACATAATGTTATATAAGTAGCTTTTTACTGGACTGAATAAAAGCAACTCTTGCAGTTCAGTGGCTTGTTGGTGAAAATTTGAGCTTTATTCACTGCAGGCCCTAATTACACAGCTGAAAAACACAATGTCCTAATATTTGGACTGGAACAAATGAGCGTGCAAGGATCTCCCTTACAGTGACCGTTCCTAAGCATGTTCGTAAATGAAGCATACTTAGATGTATTCAGTTTTACCACCTGTGTTTTAACAGCAATAGCGATAAGGAACTGTAGTGGGAAAGGCACTGTAAATGTGCCCCCTACTTGAATAGTGGCATATCCTAGTGGATGCACTTTGTCCTGACTCAGGTTGGGATGTTACCAGATGAGCAGTGCAGTAGTTTTTCAGGGAGAAAATGTAAACTATTTCAGCTAACTAAATTTTGAGAGGTATGTTCTTTAGACCTGGCATCTTTCTTTTCTGTTAGCTTCTTTTGAACAGAGAAGTTTCATGAAGTCGAATAGTGCTTACACAAGAGATGGACTGTGTGGTATTGTGCTGGTCTGAAATACACAAGTAGCCTGGCAAACAGGTAGGCAAGTTCTTCAGTGGAGAGTCACTTTTAGCTGATGAAACAGCTCTCCTGTCCTCACTCTGCACTTTCCAATCAAGTGGGTGTATTTGCTAGTGAAATGTAAATGCATTCAAAATTCAGAATACTAATTCTGATACTGCAATACTTTGCTTTATTCTGTAGCTTTTTTGCATGATCAGACCCAAGATATGCAAGGGCAGTTGGGAGTTTCAGCCTAGTTCGCTTTAATACGCTTTCTCCAATTCTTCTTTCCTGTAGAAAAGAATTTAACTGTAGAGAGAGATTCTGCTACCTATATTATTTGTGTAGTTAACAAGACTGATTTGACTTACAGTAATATTTCACTGTTTAAAAGTCCCCTAACTTTTAAGGATATTTAGTCTTGTTGATGTGGTGTGTCAAAACTTAAGTGTCCAAACTGCATCTGCTAAACACTTGCTAGTAAAATAGGAGGTATTGTTTATGTTTCCATAATGACTATGTTAAGTTGTTTAATGGTTAGAAGTGTCAGAGTTGTGCACATTTGTGAGAATTTTTTTTTTTGATTTTTTTTTTTTTTTGGTTTTGAAAAACTGAACAGTTGTTGAATTGTGCTTTAATAAGAAAAATATTAGAAAGGCTCATGCTTAGGATCCTGGTGCTCATGTAATTTCAACGCAGCTTAGAGCATGTTGTTTTTAAACAGCAGTGTGATTGGATGGCCTTAACTTGGACACAAAGCATGGAGGTTGTTTAGTTACTCCTTGGGARTATATCTAACCATTATGTTCTTTGCTTTTTGTGCCTTTAGCATTCTTTTCAAAGATTTTAAGGCTTATATATTGAAAAGTGGAAAACTATTGTTTAGCCAATTGTCACTTAATTCGTGGATACCTTAATTTGGAGATTTTCTGACAGTGGGAGTTTCAGTGCTGGTGCACTGAACTAATGCAGGTGAAATAAATTGTGCTGATAAGGACACTGATCTCCCTTCTGAGTAGCCCCCTGGTCATTTTTCCCTGAGTTTAYGAATTTGCAGGTCACAGCTGAAACAATTTGGTAAAGGAAAAGGTGTGTATTTAAGCTAAATGGTTGTATAAGTAGAAGYAAAGTGGTAAGAAGGTTGTCAAAAGCTAGGCTGATTATTACAGTTGGAGCTAGTCATAGAAACATCAATCCCTCTCTGCGACCTTAGATAAGCTACTTATTRTAGTCTGCTAAATAAGTCTGCTCTTCTGCAGACTTCTGCATAGTGACAATATCAGTCTGTAGGATAGTTTTGGATTTTGACACTTCAGTTTTGAAGTAAGTTCTTTTTAGTAAGTAGTAAAATACTGAATTCCATACTCAAAAAAATCAGATGAACATCTTTTGGTCATGTTTATGCATCTGTTCTATTTAGATCTAGTGTGCAGTAGAGGATGTATTCATTACCCTAAATGACTGAGTAGGCAGCTTCTTTCCAAGAAAAGGTTTATGTGTAAACATATGTAACAGTTTTAGTAAATAAAGTATGTTTACCAGTGCATTCCCCTAGGATCTTGATTGGACTGTRTTTTTCTTTCTGTATTTAAACTGCAATAAAGAGCTTTCATTTGAATATGTTTCACTAGTTATTCCTCATCTGATGCTTCCACTTTCTGGTTTTTCTTATTTGCTGTTTTTAAAGGATATTTTGAAGGATTTGAAGGAAAGTTTTTTTTTTTAATATAGGCAATATCTGTTTTGGCTATTCAAAGAGAATCTTTTTTTTTTTTTTT